TCATCCTTTTCGTTGGACGAACCAACTATAAATGAGCGGAGATACTGCCGCGAGATTTACGAGAGCGCGGCCGTTTTGTTGGATTATAGATAGCCTGTATTCTGAACTTGCGCTGGCGGGCGCAAACTAAGTCCGGGTTGCTCGTAAAATCTTGGCGAAAAGAGGCACGCGTTATTCGTTACTCGAAAGTGCCATAAAAGTTGTACAACGCGTATCCTGAAATAAATACAATTTAAAATAGGAACTTTCAATCTTGTCATGTTGTTTGTTTCTTTCCTCTTGTTGCATTGATCTACGTACAATAATCTAGAAAGCATTATAATAATACTAGTATGGAGTAAAAATTAATTAAATTAGTATTTGTTGTTAATTAGATAACGTTAAGACATAGTGGACATTATCAAAGTTTTATACATTCCTCAGTGACAAAGTTTCCGAAGTATTTTGCATGACGCTGCCATCGTGGACGAATGTTAAGTAAAGGACTTCTTAAACATTCCTTGTGCTCTTTCGCTTCCAGGCCGCTCCGGTCGTCGTCGGGATCGAGTTTAACTTCGCTAATATACTTTCGCGCCCCGCTGCATAGAAGCGAGATGTATCCGCGTTTCAGTTATCGGCCGAACTTCCACGACGAGCGAGTGAACTTCGAATGAATAAAGTTCGCGCGGGCAAAAAAAACTAGACCGCGTCGCTTCTTTCTCTTTGTTTTCGCTGAGCCGTTGATTAATCGATGATAATACGTCGACTTTAACGTCGACTAACTTTGAGAAATAGCTCTTAAGTGGCGGCGATGCTAGGCAACATGAAACTTGCCCATCAAAATATCATACTAATAAGAAATTTATTATTGTGCGAGAATACATATAAGTGTGTGTAAATAAAATTATAATATATTATATATTAATATCTCATAAGAATAGATTACGGTAAGCCTTCCCCAAACAAGATATATTATTTAAAAAGTTTTTGTGAAGTGATAATAAAAATCTCATAGGACAAAATGAGATGCTGAACATAGTGTCTCGGTTTGTCCTGAGGCATTTTCTATGGTTTAACAGTCGAATTTGTTTAAACCTTTAAACTATCAAAAATTATAGAACTATTGAAAAGAAAGTCAAAACAATTATTTGAGTTTCCACGAAATGATAGTATTACGTATTATTTGATCTTCGTTTTTCTTTTTATAATTATTATTTTATTTTACAAAGTATAAAACCTACAACGGAATAAATAATAATTATTACGGAACAATAATTATTACGAAACGGGATTTAATATTATGCAAACCATTTTATGGTTTCGAACAATAATTCTCCTAATTAATTGAATAAAATTTTGCTAGCTTTTTATTCCCAACGGCAAAGTTAGCCCGCAACCTTATAAAATTAAACATTCTAACGCGCACATGCAATTGCGGTCGTTTCCCTAGAGAAGTTTCATACGCGAATAAGCTTTTTAGTTTCCCCGCGCGATAATCGTCAAAAATTTCCAGCACAACGCGCTTTCCATTCTCATCCTCGCGCGCAACAATGCATAATCATAAACGCGGTTTAACTTCTCACGATATATTTAAGCCGCATGTTTATTTAATTGCTCCTTGCGGTTTAATTAAATTTTAACGTTCAATAAAGTCTCAGATCTTTTCTTCCATATTTCTTTTCTAGCTATTTTCTTTTCTATTTATGAAAAGAAAATAATAGATTGTAGTAATCTGCTATATTTTCTAATAATAAAACTAATAATTTATATATATATATGTTTTTCTCTTAATAATTTTATGAAATATATTTAACATTAATTCATTGTGTTAATTTCATTTAATATATAAATTTTTTCTAATTTATTTATAACTGCATTAGTTTAGAAGATAAATCTTGTATAAAAATATTAGTAGTTTTTTTCTCCTCTCCAAGTAAAAATGCCAAGTATATTAGCCATAAAAGTTTAAATATTTCACAATCTTACTATGATTATTCTGTCAAGAAAGAATTTCAATTGAGTATACTCTATTTCTACCAAAGTAAGATATTATATTAAGATGTTTATGTTAACAGACATTAATTTTTTTATGACTGCTTTTCCAAGCTCGCATATGCTTTGTAATAAATTCCAATCTTACGGCCTAAGATGTTACATTACGTTTTTATCCGACAATACAGTGTCGGGCTGATGCATTAGTAAACTTTCCCGGCAACTTTTAAGCCTGTTTGAGCTGTCAACTTTTATCGGCCATTACTCACATTGAGAGGGTAGTTTTAACCGATTAGTTCGCTATCAAAATCGATGGGAGATGGATGCCCGTGATGTATAACGCGCAAAATGGGAGCAGCCTCGCGTTTATGTGTACGTATGTTCCGTATGCCTATATTGTACATCGAACAAAGACATGATTGCGTTAATATTCGTTTGCTAATATTGTTAAAGCGGAATTAGAGAAAGAGAGAAAGAAGGTGAAAGAGAGAGAAGGGGGGGGGGGTAAGAATATGTCAATATTGCTAGTTGGTTAATATTATAATATTATTAGTTACTCAATTAACATTTATTTATTGTTTGCATTGATCATTTTTGGTTTGTCAATGGAAACCGCAATGCTGGCCGCTAAATGCGGGCGATATACAGGTAACTTTGCAAACACTGTCGGAACTTTCGTTTTCACCTGCAAAAGCGTACTGTGCGCGACAAACAATTTAGGAGAACCCGTTAATATTTGGCTAGGATGGCCGCGATCAATCGGTAACGTGCTAATTCAATGCGTACATAAATCCATCTGTTCGCCTCTATCAATCTCTTGGAGATAATTACGTGCCTACGTCAAACGTGCTGAATCGAAGCAAATAAGACCTGATGTCATTGTCAAATAAACACGTATAATAGCTATTGGTCTAAAAAATCTGTGAAGTATCTTCAGAAAATAAAAAATATTTATTAATTATATGTACATAAAACTAGTACTTTCTTCTAAACATTTTACAAATATTACAAACAGAAAGAGAAACCATATTTCTTTTAAAAGATAAATTTTTAAATTATTATTATATATTTGTCTTTTCATTTTGTATAAATGGAATTGTAATTTTTATGGCAAAATATCTTTTATTTAGATTTAGATAGATGGTAGTTTCTCGCAGGAAACCTTTCGGTTTAAAAATAAAACATGTTAATATAGAAGAACGATTTCCGCGTAACCGCGCTTTCCTCGAGTTTGCTTCCGTTTTCCTTTCCGTCTGCAATGTATAGACGCTTTGCAAATTCGATCGCGCTTATACGGATCGTTTCACTCCGTTCCGGACGGGAAACGTTTCGGTCAGAAAACTGGTATGTGCCCGTGGAGGACCGATAAAATCGATATTGTACCGTGCGGAAGTATCGTTTCGTAACGAACCAATTCCACATCGGTCAAAGTAAATCGTCGTACGTGGGTATTGTGTACGATATTGCGTAACAAATTCGCTACTGTTTCGCACTGCATATTCTGTGATAGGGTAAGCATTCGTTTTCCCGGCATTTGCCAAAGCTCATTGTGCATGCAAATCGTCCACGTATATAAATTTTTATACAAAACCATACCTCTCTTTGACAGTGTCGCATCTGTTCGGATTTATATATCGCGTATAAATATGTTTGTTCGTTATTTTTTGCGATGTTAATACTTTTCTCGATATACGTCTAAATCGGACGTGACATCATTAATCCGTCGCATAGTACATACATACGATGTTGTAACCGGGCACAAGATTTCAGGTATATTTTTGTGAATACAAAATTAATTTTTCTTTCTGAATAAAAATACCAAAGTATATCAATATTTTCAGTGCTATAAATTAAGTTCTTCAGACTGCAATTAGATAACATTTAATTATTCACTCTAACATGAATTGTGAAAATATATTTGAACGTTTAAATCAAAATTTAATTACTAAAATTATTCAATGTTTAATATTAGAGTGTCACATTTCTCGAAATTTTCCTCATAAGTAAAATATTGAAATTCAAATATACGCTCAATATACGTTTCTGTCATTAAAATTAATGCAGATATTTACGGGACACCTTGTCGTGAACGCAAGTCGTCGAAATCTAATCTACATTCTGCGTTTCGTTTCTCGCCGCAGATGTGCCCGTCGTTCCAACCGCGCGGATATACCAGCGGTATCACCCTTTACGGAGGAAAAACATCTGGGGACCGAGAGAACCCGGAATGGCACGTGAAGGAGCCATAAAATCGATATTGTAACGCGACGAGTTATCTCTCGCGGTAACGAACCGCTCCCATGTCGGTTGAAGTAAATCGCGGATCGTACATATACTCTTCTATACCGAGAGATATATATATACGTGTGTAACAAACGAGCCGCTCGTCTTTCTTTCCCTCAGCTTGCTTTATTCCTTTTCTTGTCGGTCCTTTTCGACGCGCGCTTCGCTTCGCCCTCAGGTTTAAGGCCATAAAGATTGAGTCTCTTGGGTAAAAGGCGGCTCGTTAAGGACGCGAGCCGATCTCTCAGCTTCTAGTCGTAAGTACGGATGTATACGTAGACCCGAGAGGGCTTACTATATAAGAAGCAAGCTACACAGAAGAAAATAGTAGTGGAATAATACGCGTGTCTGTAATAAAGATTATTACACCGATCATAAAAATAGTAGAAAGCATGTGATAGCGAAACAAGAAAAATTAGAGGATAAGCGTCTCGAGTGACTGAAAATGGAGCGCGTTGGGGGGATTGATAAATATAACGAGTAAAATAGATCGAGTAACGACAGTTTGTCTTCATTTCTCGTGATGATGTTACTGACGCGTATAGAGGTATATTTTTTCGTGACGTTAAGGATCCTTCAACGATCGATCGGCGGTAATAAAGCGAATCCATCAAATGAACCTTAATGGTGCTCAAATATTAAGTTGCTCGAACGACCATAGAATCGTTCGAGGGTTCGGCTAACGAAGCCGACGACGCTACGCGGTTTTTAAAGTTGGAAAACAAAACTGTAATTAGAAGACTTACGAGCTAACGAAGGCCGGAAATGAATGGCTCGTTGATAACTCAAAATCGCCTCTTCGTAATTCTTCCTGCCCTGCTGTAAGATGCCTCTGTAACAAAAAAAAAAAACAAAGCAACTTTTAATACACCCTAGAATATTACAATGAGAAAAGAATAATATATTTGGAAAGCAAAAATAATTAAAAAATTTTACATTATAATTTTTATTCTACAAAGAAGAAAAAAATAACTCTAAAGATCGCTAAATATATCAAGTTGACTATATGATAATGTTGATAATGCGCGATCTTAAGCAAGCAGCCATTAACAAGATAAATAAATTTTATAATCTCTAGTTTGCCTTTTGTCATCGCGGTACATATTTCCCAGCTTTCAAAGATATTCACCTCTTCGATATAATATCAAGTGTCAAACGTTGCGAGAAGAAAAGAAAAGTTTTCCGTCTTTTAGACAGTGAGCGATTAATCTTTCCTCGAAAAACGTCACTTTCAGAAACGATATAAAAATATTACTTGTCAAGGCGATGACTTATCGCACATGAGGTTGCTGCTACGCGGTGGGATTAAATTGTGAGCGCAATAAGCACGATTCGTAATATCCATACACACATACGGGAGCGGTCTCTCTCTTTCTCTCTTTTTCTCTCGCAAAGTTATATATTTTAGAAAGGACCCACCGTTTCGGCGTTGCGGTGATTAATCTTCCGACATAAGTTGTCGCTCGAGAAACGATGAAAATATCACTTGTCGACAAGTGAAGTATAGTCGGCCAGCCGATGAACGACTTGCGCAAGTACTATCGTTGATATTTTTCTCGTAGCACGTTATCGAAATCGGACTGGACGATACGACGTGCAGTTATTTTTCTTGCCTCGCATGTTGCGTTATTTTTCTTACTTTCCGACTAGATTAGAATTGTGAACAGGATTTTGCACAAGAGTTATAACGTAGTTTGCGAAATATTTGTGCTTCTTGCATATTAAATATATGTCGCTATATTTTTTAAAATTATGCTACTCTCAAAAAAGATTATAATTAATATATATTATTTGGATAATATATTTCCTAAAAAAAAAGAAAAAAAATAGAGATGCGCTTATGCATGTATCTGATGATTTATTACCGAGATTCATTGCAAAAATTCGCGCTTCAAGATTTCAACCATGTCAACTTTTCTAACGAAGCGGGTGTGTACAATTTGAATTGGCGTAAATTACTGAATGTTGAACAAAGTTTGCTGTGCATTTCCGCTCCGGTACATATTCGCGCGCGCGAAACTATACGCTGCTTTTTTTTACAAGTCTTATTAACGTCGAAATATAAATTAACGTCAGTAAATTCTCTGACATTTTGCCGAGTTTTTACGGATTAATATAATTATTAAGAATTTTCCGTTTATTCTGAAGCACAGTTTTGAAAATCATTCTTTTCTTAGAAACAATTAATTTATTATCAAAATTAAGAGCATATTTAACGCGTAAATCGAATTTTCACGTCGATGCAGCGTTGCGAAAAAATTATACTAATGAGGCGCTTTGTAAGCCTCCGACGAGCGACGAGCTTGAAGAAAAAAAGAAAAAGAGAGAGAAAATGGCAAAGAAAGGGGCGAGATGGAACGAGATATTTCCTTTCCTACCGTGCGAAGCTAGCAAGATGAAGAGAATCTCTGTTCGTTAACGAGCCGCTACTCTGCATTCGTTAACTTTCAACAAGACGAAGACGTTCGCGACGTATACATATACTCCGCCCGTCACTTTGTCGGCTTCTCCTCTTGTAACAATTTTCAGTTTGTGCCAATTTACAATTATACCCTATTCTGTTTAATTTGTTATTCAACTCTTGGCCCGTTTACCAACCGTACACTGCGACGATTTTATAAATCTTTTTCAAGTAGTATAAATCCGTAAGTGTTTTACTAAATGTACGATAGAGAATCACAAAAGACCGCAAGAAAAGTTAACGTTTTGTATAATTACAAAAGAAACAATTATGTCTATGAATTATGTGATTGACATACTAAAAAATAAAATTGCTAAATTCTCAAAACACTGTAATATTTAAAAAATAATAAAAAAATTCTATTCTTAATGTTTTAATTCTTCTTTAAATAATGTTTTATTTTTACTTTTTACTAAACTGAATTATATTCCATAATTGACGAGTTATAAATACTTCTTGTCTAATTCTGACCGCTATTATTCCATCAAAAGTTAACCGCATTTAATGTCAAAAGCGAAATTGAGGCACAAACCAATTTATGCAGATGGTCAGGGAACGAAAAGACAAATCGCGCGCGTAATTCCCCGATGTCGTTCGTTTAAAACACGAAACTTAATAAAGCGACGTGGCGCGTCAAATGCTGTTACCGTCAAACCGCTGTGCGTACGGCGGCTTCGTGGTATAGTTCAAACGGGAACATGAGCGTGTTTCCGCACATCGACAAAATAAACCGCAATCGTTTGGTCGAATCGCGCGGATATAATTATACGAATTATTCGGGTTTCCTGTAACGGGCAATCGGTTTTACGACGGGAGAACGTTTTGCGCTGTAACGATCACGTTTTGTGTCGGCTGGTTTCGATAGCAAAACGCGGGCTCTTCAGAATATCCTCGAGGATTTTCCACTGGAAAATTTCGTTCGTAACAAGATGCGGAGAAGAAAGCAAGGAATAAAAGAAGGAAGAAAAACAGTTAGAAGACCGAGGCGAGATAGAGAAGAGAAGCAACAAAAAATACAGAAATTGTCGTCGAATATCTGACCGTTTTTATGTGGTGAGCCAATAAAATAGAAACGCCCGTAAAACGTTCACCATATCACGCAAATATGCCGATAAAGGCTCGGCGAGGAATGTCAAAAAGTTGCTTCGATTCACGACGCGTGAATATGCGTATTTCAACAAGACTGAAAATGCAAACGCGGTGCGCTGAGAGGTGTGCATGAGATTCTGCGAAACGTCATTTCAAATCGAACGCAACGGTAGGTCGTCGCGATCGTTGACTTTCATCACTTAATATCATTGATGTTCGCCGTAAAATCTGCGTATAAAATATTTAACTTCTAGAAATTTTGTTTATCAATTTTTATGCTAATTTATAGAATTATATATACCTAT